AAAAAAAAAAAAAAAAAAAAAACCAAAAAAGAAAAAAACTGCACAAGCATCCTGCCCTGTAAGAGTCAGGAATGATCAGATGAGTTTTTGTGTTTCTAGTTTTCATCAACTAATAACGAACTTCCTACTTTTAGATGTGGCCAAAATATTCTGCAAGAAAATGCACTAATCTGCGGTTTCCAAATTCCTTTGGGATCATCAGGTTCAGAAGGAAACTATCTTAAGATCCTAAGGTTGAATCCTGTTCTTATTCTTCATCTGAATTAACTTTCTCTTGCCCTGGCCCTTCTTCAGTAGCTGTAGATTTATGAAAGTGGGGAAAGAAGGAAAAAAGGATAGCAGTATTTAAAAATAAATTTTGTTTTTCATGAAATTAATCCCAATTTATGGTGTGTGTTTTAGTGAAAATTCTTTTGGACAACTTACCATTTGTCAAGCGATCAAATAAGAAAATGTCAAAATCCCACATTCCCACTTTGGAGAGCATATGCTGAAAGGCAAACAAAAAGTGGCACTCAAATGAGTCATATTGGAGATGCTACCATTTACTTTAAGACACTGTGAATTTAACAATTAAAAAAGTTGAAGCTACTAGCTTGCTACTATCTAGTACAACTGAATGACTTCCCTGTATCCTACAATAAGTTCCAAAGCTTGACATGACACCCAAAGACCATCAGAAAATGAAGAGATGATAGGTTATTTTTGAGGCCCACATTCAGTGAGTCTTTTACTCAAATCACACGATACTAAAGGCAGATCCAGGACATAACCTGATATCCAGATTGTTGGCTTTCTGTTCTTTCTACATCTCAAAGAAATGTAGAAAGAACCTTTCTTGAGATGTGGTTGCTTAGAGGAGAGATACACCAACAGGTCTCTGCTAGTGACGTTCCAGTGCTGGGGAGTTTAGTTTTGCTCTCCTCTCAACAAACAAGGAAAACATAAAAAAATTCACCCAATTTTAGGCCTTGGGTTGTAATGAGATATTTTGTTTTCCCTTTTGTAGAACTAATATTTAGAATTAGTTCTTCTGACATTACTTGCTGTTCATTTATAAATGATACATATTAGCAGTATATTTTCCTTAATAGCATAGAGATAGTACATTACTTAACATGCAAGCTATAAAATCTACCTTTGACTTCTGTTTAAACTGGGGCCATCTCCTTCTGAAATTTAAATTCCTTTGGCAGTTTAGGCTGGAGATAATCTGTACGCTTTTTTCAGATTGTCACACATTAATTTCCACTTTCAGTCAGATTAGTATGTTGCAAAAATAATTGTATGATGATTAAAAGTTATTTGAATGAATCAAAAATTATAAAAAAATATAAAAAACCCTGTATCAATAGCCTAAATTGGAATTAAGAGCTGATTACTATTGGGTTATTTTTAGTGTAGCTATCACAATGAGGTAATTTGATGAATTAAGAAATTTAGCTATTCCCTCATTAGTAATCTAACAGCTTAAATTCTTTTATTTTTCTTAGTATTGTGCAAATATGTTTTAAAAATTTATAGAAATGAAAATAGCTAGCATGTGCTAGGTGTGAGTATATTAAGCACATGTACATGGTTTACCTCATGAATCCTTGCATCCACCCCTATTTGGAGGGTGTTCTTATTAACTTCATTTTCTATTTGAAAAAAAAGTCCAGGCATGTTGAGTAACTATCCTAGAGTCATAGAGCTCCTCAGTGGCAGAGTAGGATTCAATTCCATGTGCTCTCAACGGAGGCACATACTCTTGGCCACTGGCCTACCGTAAGGAGACAGGGGTAGCCAGCTTACCCTTGCTTGTCCAAGATAGTCTTCATCCAGCAGGTGGAGAGGAGCTTGTGGTATAATTCCACGAAGCAGCCTTGATGCATGGAAGTATCTTTGAAAGCTTAAAAGTCTTTTCACCTTTTTCTTGGTGCCAATTTCCCCTGAGTATGTTGTATCTGTGGAAAGTCATCAAATTGAGAGTTATATGTTTAAAAGATAGCTCATTTTCTCCACTATATAAAAATATAATGCATTAAAAAGGAGAGACATTTAAGAGATGTTTTCAATGCTTTCTTAAATATGGTCTAGTTAGCTCTACATTTGAACGTCTTCTAGAACACAAGTGATTTTTTAATGTATTACATTTATCAAAATGTCAAGACATGTCAGAATGTAATTTTGGATGACATGAAATATATACATTAAAAACTTCATTTTCTTGTTAAGGGTGCTGGTATATATAGTAAGTGAAATTTACACACTTCTGCATGCGTTTGAAATGAACAGTTATGTTTTTTTCTTCTATAATAGGACTGAGACTCAAAAATTTAGACTAAGTTCTCATCCTACACTCTCCCTAGTCTGATGAACTTTGTCACCTGAATTAGAAGAATCGTGATGACACCAGTTTACATATGAGGAAAATGTCTCCTAATGTCCCAGAAACATCATTGGCAAAGGAATCAATAATCTTGTACAAAATGTTGCCTAGCTGCTCCCAGAGAGGGTGTTAACTTTCTAATAAGTGTATTCCCTTTTTCTAGTGGCCATGAAAGTCTGTTCTTGTCAGTTGAGATATTTTAATACACATTTTGCATGTGCCTGTATATATTTTGGGTACCACTAAACTTGACTGTTATCTAGAAATACCCCAAGCACATTATTTAAATGTCTTCCAAGATAGTTGAAATTGTATACATCACTCTGGGAACACATAAGTGATGTCTGCTGCCCATTGTGAATGCAGAGTTAATTTAACAGGCTAGAAGGAAAATGTCTAGCTCCTATATAAAGTAGTTTTGGTTTCTTCCATACTTTCTCCCTTCTCCCATCTTCCCCTGTGGAACTCAAAATCACAACTGATGTAAGAGTAGAGGAACCAATGGGCACTCTGGCAGTGAGTGACCAAAATCAGCTCATTGCTTATGCTGTATTATGCATGCAAAAACATAATTCAGGGCTGGCAAAAACTAATGCTCTTTCAGAATGCTGCCTTATTAAAATTATTTTTATTTTAAAATGGATCTAGATTTCACAAGCAGAAAGAGGCAAAAAAATATATATGGAGATACATAGAGCACAGCTGAAGTTGTGTTTAGGCATACATCACTATTAAAAATGGTAGATGTGGACTCCATTCTACTGCTGAGTTCTCACTTATATCCATGAGTTTATTAAATCAAAGTATGGGGTAAAAATTGGGGCAACTCCTTCAGGTCCTCTCCCACTGTGGGAGCTTTCCTGTCCTCTCAATAAATCCTGTTTTCTCAAAAAAAAAATTGAATGCCTATTATAGGACAGGAACAAATTCTAGATGTTTGGCGAGATCCTTCAGTTCTAGATCTTTCAGGGAGCAAAACCCAAATCCTTGTCCTCATGGGGCTTACATTCTATCAGAGAGAGACATCTAATTAGCAATAAACAGAAGTAAATGATAAAATGTCTTAGAAGGTGATAAGCATTATGGGGTTGGGAAGAAAAGTAGTGAACAAGGGATCAAGAGTTCTATGTTGGGGGTGGTCAGCACTGGCCTCAAGAGAGGTTACAATTTGATGCAAACTTGGAGATGAGGGAGTTGGCTAAGTAGCTATCTGGGGAAAGAAACATCTTCCACACAGAGGAACCAACTTGGATAACTACAAAGAGTGGGAACACGTTTAGGGTGCTGGCATGTGGAAGGAACAGCAGGAGTTTAGTGTGGATGGGGAGGAGAGAAAAGGGGAGGCTGAGATGAGATCTCAGAGCGGGGGGGGGGCATGAAAATTATACAGGGCTTAGTAGGCCATTGTAATGGCTTGGGTTGCACCTGAGTGAAATACAAAGCCACCACAAAAATTGGAGTAGGCCAGTGATATAAGCACACTCACAATTAAAAAGTGTCATCCAGGCTTCTGTGTTGAGAACAAATAGTAGGAGGAAGGTTTGGTGCAGTGAAACCTGTTAAGAGGCTATTGAAATAATCCATGCAAGAGCGAAGACTGCCCAGACTACAGAGATAGCAGTGGAGATGGTGAGATTCTGTATATATTTTGGGTACCTCTAACGTTTTGGTCTGGATAACTGGGAGAACAGGGAAGGGTGCAGGGGGACCAGATCTGGAGTGGTTTCATGTTATATATGTTGCATTTAGACATATATGGAGATTCAGGCAAATATGCCGAGTAGAGATAAGTGGATATAAAATCCAGAGTGTGAGGGAGAAGACTGGGTGAGAGATAAAAACCTGAGAGTTGTCAGATGAGATTATCCAGGGAGTAAGTATAGATACAGATGAGGAAAGGATCACAGTCTGAGTTCTGGAATACCTAGACTTTAGAGGGAGGCAGAGAAGAGCAGAAAAAACTAAAGGAGAAGGAAGGAGCAACCAGTGAGGATGCAGGAACACCAAGAGAACATCATTTCCTTGAAGACTAGTGAAGATAATATTGCAAGGAGTGGGTAGATTGTTAGAATCAAATGCTGCTGATGGTCAGGTATGATGAAGACCGAGTTGGTCATGAAAAATATACAGTACCTAAAAAGAGCACATTTTATTGTATGCCTAGAAACAATACCCTGCTAACAATGACCACATCTAGCACTTGGATTTTGGTATTCATATATGATTTTTGCTGTTCATCTTGGCGAAATGGCCAATTCTAGGGCAGGGACAGTAAGTATACCAGATAAACTGTAATAGCTTGTTTTACCAGAAAATAAGGGAGAGCTAAGAAAAAAAAAAGATGGGATTGCTTAAAAATGACAGAGGAGGAAACTTTAAGGGGTTCCTTTGAGCAAAAGTGGGAAAATTTTAGCATCAAAATGAATAATTGAAGAATTAATTATAAACCATTGATGGAAGCAAGCATCAATGAGTCATATGGATAGTAAATTAGGAAGTAAGAAATAAATAAAGAGAAGGGAAAGTTCTTCCTTGCAGAATGTGCCTGTTAATAAATGTGGAAGAAATAATGGAGTTGAAAAATGATCATTTTGCAGACAACATAGTAATAACCGATTTAGGCTAGAATCATTAAGGGATACTAAAATTGTTCAGTGAAAGTTTAAAAAGCAGCAGGGCAATTACACAACATCAAAGCATCTGCCCACAGATGACTTATTAACCAGAGAAGTAAAAATGGGTAGTTTTTTTGTGGAAAAATATAAAGGGGGCACATCTTCCCCAAGTAATCAAAGTTAACATTGTCAAAATGGGAGAAACTAACATCATGCACTTTCTGATGCCACACGCTGAGGCCACAATACCACATATGGAGTGTTCCTGCGCCAAATGTACATCTGACTCCAATAAAGAGGAAATATCAGAAAAGCCCAAGTTGAAGGACACTCTACGCAACAATCAGCCTGTGCTCTTAAAGAATGTCAAAGTCATGAAAGACAAGATAGCCTCAGGTATTGTTTCATAATAATGGATACCAGAAATAGTGCGCTAAATGCAATGCATGACCTCAAGTTGGCCCCTGGATCAGATAAAAGTTTTCATAAATGACATTTTTTGGACAATTTATGAAATTTGGATATGAACTTATACATGAGATAATAGTATTAGATCTATAGATTCAATGAATTTGATCATCGAACTGTGGTTACATAAAGAATGCCCTTGTTTTTAGAAAATACATGAAATAAAGTATGAAGGGGTACCCCAAATAAACTGGAATTATTTTTTGGAGTATAGGCTTCCCCTGCTAGGTAAATAGTCTAGGAACCCATTGGCATCAGTGTACCCATTAGGATTGGTTGTGAGAGGCTGCATTTGGTTTCAGTAAATTTTTTTTTTTTTGAGATTCTTTCAACATGTTTGCCATTTTTCCTGATGGGTGATTTACAAGAACAACCTGGTCACACCACGCTGAGTGTTCAGCAGTTTTTGACCACAGTTGGCATGACCCATGTGCCCTACCCTCCCTACTCACCTGATCTCACCCCAAGTTTCCCTGGATAAAAAAAAGTCCTGAAAGGGAAACGTTTCACTGATATGAAAGAGGTGAAACAAAAAATGGCATCGATGAGTTCAGAAACTGTTTTGAGCAGTGGAAAAAGTCTAGCTAGATGTATTGCATCAAACAGAGAGTACTGTGAAGGTGACTTCATTTTAACATGTAAGTATAAATACACAATTTTTAATAAATAAATTCCAGTTTTTTTGGGTCCCCCTTTGTATTTCTGTGTTATGTATAAAGCAAATCTAAAAGAAAATATCCATATGATAATCTATTTCTTTTTATATATTCTATAAAAATTCCTCCATTCTAAAACACTAAAAACTTCCTGTGTAACTGAGAGTATACCTGTCTATACATAACAGAATCAGAAGCAAGCAAGATCACCCTGAATGCTGGAAATATGCCACAAACATAGCAAATGGAAATAATGGATTTTTAAAAAACTTCCATTTAGCTTTCCAAGTAGTATAATACTTAAAGCAGATTTACACTTAAGATAATGGCATTGAAGTTAAATTACATCTGGCTAATGTAGATGATAGGAAATAATGGTTACTATTCACAAATTTTGACTAAACTACTACTAAACTAATGATGCTATGAGCTGGAGATATTAAGTTTAGATCTGTTTTTATCCTTAAACTAAAGAAGGAAACAGCAAGATTCCCTGCCTATTTTTTTTCACCCTATAGTCAAACAGATTATTATCTATTTATTATTATCCAGCAACATGTCAGCATGCAGATCTCTTAAATAACTGTGATTAAGCCCTACTCCGATAATTATTATAATTCCTTCCTGGGTTTGTGGCTGTTTATAGGCTTTGTTTATTCTTCTTTTATAGGGTTTGTAGTATGTCTTTTACTATAGAATGTCTGGCGAGTAATTGACTATACCCTCAAGTCAGAAACCATTTTCTCCATTTAAGTTGAATTTCATCCATTTAATTTAAACCATTTAAGTTCTTGATGTTTTGTTTCTGAAGACATTTTTGGTTTTAATTTCAATTT